ATGGCCTTTTCTAAAATTGGTCTCTACACCCCTGATTGGTACAACAGAACTTTCTGAGCCAATTTGTATTCAACAAAGATTTTTTAAAAATAAACTGGGCCCTAATTCAATGTGTACATAAGGGTGAGGATACATCTGCCTTCTTTCATAAGCAGCCATTTCATTTGTGTATCAGTGAACTTTGATTTTTCCAGATAATAAACTAAACATGGCATAATAAACAATGACCTCTCCGCTGAATTATTAGCATACAAAACCAAATGAATACAGTGCAACCCATATTTCATTTGGAATACACACACACACACACACACACACACACAGAGAGAGAGAGAGAGAGAGAGAGAGAGAGAGAGAAGTTTGCACAGCCTGTGATACCCTCATAAACAACCCTGACTTTCCTTGGTCATGCATAGGAAAATAAGAATAAAACGAAAAATGAAGTGAGCCACAAACACTGGATGGCATCAAGACTATTTCCTGTAACTATATTAGCTAATTTGTGCAGCTAAAGAGAGCACAGGGAGAGCTGGCAGTTTGTATGCTGTACAATTGCTTGCTCAAAGGTTGCTCTCCCATGGGGGTGGGGAGAGGGGAGGAATAAAAACTCCAGTGTAGAGTGCTTGAGTCTTGTGCAACCCTAAGCAGCCCAAGGACTACTTCAATGCATGTCATGTTAAGCTGCATAATCTTTTCCAGGATTATTAATAGCGCTCGCCCTTGTTTTTTGGGGGCGGCAGGAGGAGAACAAACTCCTTTGCAGAAGCCAGTCTTAAAAACACTTGGAAGACTTTAGACACAAATCTGTTCCTACTTCAAACACAACTTCAATTGGTCAGAACTTTTAGAGTTGGGAAAGTTTACTCAGCTGAACAAATATTTCTAGAACCTGCTTTATGTAGCTTTGAGGCTTCTGGGAGGTGACATTTACTCCAACTTGCAAAGGATGCTTTTTGCATTCAGATTACATCTTATTGCACAGGCAGGACCTATTCTCAAGTTTGGTAGGCAAAGTGGAGAAAGAGTCTATTTTGCCCCATTTGCCAAACTGAAGCAGTGGTATGTATTTAAATATTCAGAAAATCAGAGGCGACTCCTTCCCTACCCATCACAATCTCAGGACCAACACTTCATTGGACTGGTATTCACAAAGACACATTTGCTTGTTCAGGACAGAACCCCTGCCTGGAGGCCCTTTAGACTTAATAATATACCACCGTTGAATATCAATTTTTCAGAAGCTACGTAGCTAGTAAAAACAGACAAAAGAGATCCCCTTCCTTCCATCCATCATGTAACTTAAACAATCTACCAATTGTTCTATTGGGGACACACTCTTTCTTCTCAGATTTTGTATTTTCAGGACAATATACAACAAATGCATCTTCTGATAACTTGAACGCCATTGGAAAAAATTCTTTTAATTGTATCTCCCCTGCCATCCAGTGAAGGTATTAATCTTCTAAGCAACTCCCTTTTTTTTGGCTTGTTGGCTTTGCCACTCAAGATGTTTTTCCTCAATCTTGTTAGTATGAATGCTGTCATATCAGTTCCCCTCAAGGTTCTGATGACTGAAAATTTATGTCACTGTACATATACACCTTTCCCTTCAGTATTTCTTCCAAACTGTCACCATTGGTGGCCTATATTGGGCTGAATATTTTTGTGAACCAGTTCTATCCAGTGTTGTGGACTGATTCATTATGAGTTGAATTATAGTTTGTATCTTTGGTTTTGCTCCTCCTTTTTTTTTTTTTTTAATTCTGTTAAAAACACCAGTAGAGTTTTTTTTTAAGGAGACATTTAATTGGAACTTTCTTGGGAAGTAATACATTTTAACCTTTGCAGCTCTCCTCCAGTTGGCCAACTTCAAACAAACTACAGTAACCTCATCAACTGCAGTAAGTTATATCCAACTGGCCTTCCCTCCATTGAAGAATGATCAGTGATCCAGGAGAGAGAGGCTTTCATCAATAGAAAAAAAAAAGGGCACAGAAGCTGGATTATTTTGTTTTCTCTTTCACTTGCAATCCCAGGGCTTCCCCACCCTATTCTGAATCTTCCCTAAACCTCCTGGAGCAGATATGTGGAGGAAGCTGTAAAACTTCCAAGGGTGGGAACTGGAATCTTCAAATATTATTTGTCTCTCAATTCTGTTCATGGAAACTTTTGTCAGCCAAGGGATGCCAACTGGATATGACCCAAGTTTTTAAAGAGAGCAGACGGCCATTGGGATTGCATTCTACCTACACTGAATGTGTCCCATAGTCACTTCTGGTCTAACAAGGTTTTCTGAAACAATCAAATTGCTGCAAAACCAGTTTATCACATGCCAGAAATGAGTTGAGTGTTATGTACCAAGTGTAACAATGCCTTTGTAAAAATTACCTTCAATTCACCCAGAAAGTTATTGCATTTTTTAAGCCTAAGATCAGTTTTAAAAGCTTATTTTATAGGCCTTTTTTGTCCAGAAAGAATAAAAAGAGGATAAGTTAGAATAAAAACAGAAAAATGACATCAATAATTGAATTCATGGATTAGAAATGCACATCGGCAAAGTCTGTCATAAACAAAAACAATACAGCTTACTAATGGCAAAAAAACAAGAGAATTGGAAATTTCTAAAGGCCAAAGTCCGAAACAGTCTTCATAGCTTGATGGAAGACGTGCCCTGTGAGGGTCAGAAAAATCTGTGAAGTTGAAAATTTCACAGCCTAGGGGCCACTACTGGGCAAGACCTGTCTTGAATGACTACTAACCAAACTTCCAGAGGTAACAGGATATAAAGCAAACCCTCAGAAAAATATATTACAGACTTAGTTTCAGCTAGGGCAAGCGAGTCCTTCAGTTACTCAGGGCTTCAAAGGTTTGAAGAGAATGAACAAGCAAAGTTGTGTGGTTCTTAGAAAAGGGTAGGGGACACTTTTTATTAGACTGCTAAAAAATGAAACAAATAGCCAGCTTTCAATGTAAACCAGTCCTCTTCAGGTTGTGCACCAATACATTGTAGAGTGTATATTGTAGTGTACCGGGGGTGGGGGAGAGTCCACACATCTTGGCAGATGTCTGTGCTAGGCCCGTTTCTTAAAGGTGATTTCAAAAATGCATGCTGCAAGCACCAGTTGGCAGAGAAAATACCAATGGCTACTGGGGGGGGATCTGAAACCTACATCCTTAAGAATACTCAGAAATGGCTTTCCATTCCCTTCTTCTGGGGGCATCTGGAGACTGTGCAGCTTGCCCATGGCTACACAGGCTGGCTCTTCCCCTAGGAGGCACAATGGGGAATTGAACTGCCAACCGTTGGCTCTGCAGATACCTATACCATTGAGCTATTCAGCCAGGTATGTCAAGTTAGCAGGTTTTTTTTTTTTTTTAGCAATTCAATAAAGATATCATCTGCTCTTACCTTTGAAGAGAATGACTCTTGTCATGAATGAAGTGGGAACCACTAAATAGCTAAAAGGAACGTAATTCCTGTAACAGGTAATGTACCTGACAACTAGCTGGTTGCAACACTGTGTGCTAATCGTCACTTCTGAGTAAGTTTTAGAAAAAGTCCCTTGGGGACCATAGCCCTGTGTTCAAAAAGACAATTTTTTCACACATTTAGACGATATATGTGTCCCTACCTCCGGTGTTGCTGCTTGCCTTCTTGAGAGAGCAATGTGCCTCCTTACATGGACACTCCCCACCCATGCAAGAATCCTGGAAAATCTGGGTCGTTACTTACATGGGGACTCTCCACAAGTACAGGAACATGTCACATTCTGATATGTCAGCGATTTTTTTGGAGAAAACATAGCTAGTCACTCCTTTTGTGTGTTGTAAAAATCACATTATGTATCTTTGGATATGGTTTATCTTACAACAATCTCACCTTGATGAATATTTGATCAGAAAAAAAAAAACCCAGTATGACCCAGCCTTCCTCTATGAGATATATTCACTGTTTATGCATTCAAAACTTTTTTTAAGCGAAGAGTTTGAGATCAGTTGGCTTCTTGCTTTAACAGCTAATCTAGCTCTCAATTAGTCCAGTGCAGGCATATTGAATCCTTACATACATATATGCCCTGTATAAAGCTCCAAGATGGGGTAACTCACTCCTTCCATATTCTTTTATCAGCCAGAGGAAAGGTATCAACCCATATTGTTGATTCTCAGCTTTTCAGTCTAAGTCTTGTTCTATATACTTACTGTTTAATTATCTCATCCCGTCTAGCAAATGCGCGAACAAGTCTCCTTTTCCCTCATTCAGTTGTTTTTGTCTGCCTGACTCTAGAGCTGGGATGACTGCAGTTGAATCGAAAAATCTCAACCTGTCTGAGGAAACACCCTGAATAGACTGTGGACAGGCTTCAAAGATATAATACATTTTATGCTCTGTGTCGTATAAAGTGTTTCTGCTTGCTTTTCTGTTGTGTTGTCCCTTTATGTACACAGCTGAAATCCAGACAATGAAAAACCAGATAGACATGTGATAGTGCTACCCAATGCATTTCTACTCTGAAGTCCCACTTTTAATAGAACTTATTGTCTGATAAGTAAGCAGCCTAACAATCTTCTCTGCCCCCAAACACCCTCTTCACAAGGGATGTCCTATATTGAGGGTAAGCAGTTCTACTCCTTCCCTACATTAGCTGTGCCTCAAACAGTCAGTCACTCCTGACAAGCGACCTAGAAGAATTACTCATGCCTAGAGGTGGCCAGTTGTTATAATTCTGCATGAATTGTCACTGTGAGCTTGCCTCCTTCTAAACAGAATGAGCTCAGAACAGGGATTTGTGCGGAAACAGTAGGGTTACCGCTGCAATTTTTACTCTTTCAACCTAAGAAACAAGACTTTCCTCAGGGGAAGAATGAAGTAAAGAGAAAAGGGAAGGGAAAGGGACAGCATGTCTCAGCTATCATGAATGTGGGACACATCACTTCTGTCAACTTTTAGAAGCTGAGCTATGTAACTACAACAGCCAGAAGCATTTAGGTTGTTTTTTTTTAATAGAGAACCAAAAGGGATTTGCCTGGTGTGCACCTGCCTCTATATCATTTCTATAAAGATAACAGATTATTTGTATTTCCAGTTATTACAAGGAACAGATCACCTGGCTAAGTCAGTCACCTGACCAGACAAGTGTTCGGCTGGATGCTTGTCTACACTGTGCAGAAGACTCTTTTGATGAGCTGTGACCAAAAAAAGCCTCTGTGAAGCAGGCTGTATTGGACTAAGGCACAGCCAAAGTAAATAACTAAGCTTCAGGCACATAAAAATTAGGGAGCTCAGATATCCAGGTTATTCACTAAGAAAGATACAGTGTTCAGTTGTTATTACAATGATTTTTGTTTTCACTATACATGTAAGAAGTTGTTTCCTTATATTTCCGCTATAGCTGTAATATAAAGTGCTTGGTGCCTATACCCTAATAATTTGCTTTCCCTTGTTGAAGGGAGATGTGGTGGGAGACCACAAGCTAAGAAGGAACGCAAACAAGGCCCGAGCCTTATTATTTAGAATAAAAGCAATTCAGAGGTCATGTGTTGCACATTCTCCAAGTTTTAATAGACACAAAAATGAGTCCATTTTCACTTTAAGACTACACTGATTCGATTCTATTGCATGTCCCTTCTCAAGTGTGTACATAATTGGAGTAAACAGTTCTGCAGAGTTAAAATTAAAGGTTGTAAGAGATTCCATTAAGTAAAAGCAGCAGCAATGTGTGTGTAAGTGGGGTAGGAATTATCAAGAGTAGCTAACATTTTATAAGTAAATAAATACATTCCAAGACATAGTATTCATCAGGTCTTCAAGTTCATCAAAATATTACTCGCCAACGTGCTTCTTTGCATTAAGCAGCCTTATGACTTTTGGTCAGACTAGCTTCTGGAATGCCTCCTGAGCTATCCAGATGCTGGTTTTTGTTCACAGGTGAAGGAGCTGGACCAGTCTGGAAACATATCCTGCTGCCATGTGCACTGAAACCTTACGATTCTCCCAGGGAAGTGTGTCAGGCTGTTTACAGACTTCGTGAAACTCTAGGACAGCTGTACTCTTATCTTCTGTTACCTTAAAGAAAGTGAAAGAAGGATAGCAGTTAACTGATAGTGGCACCATGCAGTCCAGCAGCAACCAGAAAAAGTGTGTACATACAGCTATCCTTCTAAATATAGCAGAGAACTTCACAGGCTGAACCTGTCTCAGCAAACTAAAGAGTCATGGCTACTGTTATATTAAACCAAAAGGCTGGGCAAGTTGCTCATTCTGAAGAACCACACTTAAAAGAACCACGTGCAACAACAGAATGGCGTGGCAGAGAGAAGCAACCATCCTTACATAGGGCAAAAGCTCAAATGTATTCGCGAAGGCTTTCACGGCCGGGATCTAATGGTTGTTGTGGGTTTTTCGGGCTCTTTGGCCGTGTTCTGAAAGTTGTTCTTCCTAATGTTTCGCCAGTCTCTGTGGCCGGCATCTTCAGAGGACAGCACCAGAGCACAGAGTGCTGTCCTCTGAAGATGCCGGCCACAGAGACTGGCGAAACGTTAGGAAGAACAACCTTCAGAACACAGCCAAAGAGCCCAAAAAAACCCACAACAACCAAAAGCTGAAATATTTCTATGATCTTCCTCACCTGTGCAAGAAAAGCTAAACTGTTAACAACCGTTTTTGTTTCAACCTTCTGTTTTCCTTTCAGGACAGAATATGAAAGGACAGAGAAAGATGCTTTATTTAATCCTTACTGTATCTAAATGTAGAGGATAAATACAAATACAGGATAGAAGATTTTTTTTTTTTTAAAAAGGCAAATAAATCAGTAGTTGCTTTTATAGCACCAATATTTTTAAAGGCAAGTCTACTATTGTGGTGTCAGTTGCGTGGCTTCCTTCCTACTGCAGCACACAGAAATCAAACACAGAAACAAAATCTCATCTCCAGTCTGCAGTTAAATGTGGAGTGCCACATCTTGTCTCTTGTGGAAATTACTGCAGGTTGCAGTGCCTTTGCTTTAAAGGAAAACATTTCCATCTTCTTAAGTCAATACACACAATTTACACCAATTTCACTGACTAACCCTACTCTACCCAAGAGATTCCTCCAACACAGTAGCTGTTATTGGAAGGGGAGAGACTGGGACCATAGACGGGATGGGATGATGAGTGAAAACTGTGCCAAGTGGTGCAAGCAGTATCCTTTGCTAAGGCAGAGCCTTCTTTGAATATGACCTACAAGTCTGAAAACAACTGTCAGCCCCTTCCATCTGTCAATTTCTCCCCCACATGCTTCCCTTGGCATGTTACTACATGTTCCTGGAGAGTCTCTCATTTAAAATCTTCAGTGTCATTTTCTTGAGCAACGTTTAATGTGTTTTCCTATGTATTAAACCACAAATAAGGCTGAAATTCTATATTCATTCCCTTGGAAGTTATGTCCTATAAAAGTCAGCCTCAGTTTTGAGCAGGCATATATAGAATTGGGCTATATAATTAGAAACTGCACCAACAAGAACATTAATATTTTACACAAAATCATTACAGGTTCTCCACTTATATAACTAGAAAAAAATAACAAAAACATATTGCCCTTGTTTCTTGTCTTAAAAGTTACGAAATACAAAGACTTAGATGATATTCTACTGAAATTCTCAGTGCACGAGAAAACTTTTCTAAGGCAACTTCTCAGAAGAAGGCTCTGTTGAAACAACTTTGTCAAGAACTAAGGCAAGACTGTGAAGTTATCAGTTTTCTAGATTCCCACGTTTGAATAATATCCAACATGCATTTCCTTTTCTCACCCTCTAAGTACAAAACCACAGAGTACAAACAAGAAAGGACAGGGAGCACACTTATTTTAGAAGATGGGAATGCACTTTAACTAGAACTGTGCTCTTAAAAACCAGATCCCTCTTTAAACGTGGACACAAAATATGCATGAATTAACATTTCACTTGATGAATTGCAGGTATAAAAAATTGGGTTAGTTTACTTTGCATTCAGAATATTTAAATATATCCAGCCTGAGCAAATAGGAAAGAGAACCTACAATATTAATCCCAGTAAGAATCTGACTGTATGGCAGTACTTATTTCCCACATCACAAGAAATATGCCCAGACAAAATATTATTAATTAAATCTGTGCCCAGGTTTATGGACATCTTTAAGCAAGAACAGGGCAATTTGAAAAACTAGATTAAACAAAAAGGTCTCACAAATGTATCTGAAAGATGCTACATGTTTGGCTGTTTCCCAAGGAAAAGGTAGTACAAAACAGGAACAGTCAAACAAGGACATCTGGATAATAGGAGGCTGTAACTGGGTACAGACAAAATCACAATCTATAAGGTATCCAACAGAGAGGCTTAAGACATAGATGGCTTTAATAAAATATCTAAGACATGACTGACATCTGCACATATGCTGAATATGTGAAGTTAACACCAAGGGAAGCACTGAGGTTGAAGGTATAAGCCCTGTTGATAACATTATATTCACGAGGACAGCTTCATTATCTACACACCAAGCAATAAATACTTATGAATGAACTAACTGCGTCTTGCATGAAAATTAGTTAAAGTAATAGTCCTTTAATAACAACAAATTCACTCAAAAGAAGAGAAGAGAAAATATATTATGGATGACTTTTTTGGTATCTCCACTCACTTAATTCATAAACAGGAAACTATCCAACATTTCTGTCTCCATTTAATCTTTACTGCTTTTTCCACAAACCCAAGTACAATAATGTATTTATCTTGGAAATATTTATTTTTGTAACTTTTTTGCTGGTGCTCTGATACCTTGAATAGACTCTATTTATGTTGTTTCCTCTTATGTTACATATGTGTCTAGAGGGAGAGAATATAGTTCAAATATTCAAAACTGTCAGAAGGTAATAAAACATGATACATTATTTTGGTGTCTTAACTAACCAAGACACTCCCCCAAAACAAATGTGTCTTTCATAAATTGACTCAGATGGATAGAGTCCAAAGTATTACAATCTAACTACAATAAAAAGCTGAAGACCATTGTCTTTGACAACAAAAGAATAATTTGGGGTTTCTGTATGCCATAAGCCAAGCCCTGAAGCTGCCAAGATATACTGTATCAAATAACACAATCTTTATTTAGAATCTCTCTCTCTCTCTCTCTCTCTCTCTCTCTCTCTCTCTCTCTCTTACACACACACACACACACACACACACTTTA